TGGTTACATGGCAACTTTAGAATATATTACCTGGCAGCCAGGCACCATTTGTGGTGCTAAGGAAGCTTTGGGTATTGGCAGAAACAGCCATGAGCCTCATGCATGTGTTCATCTACCTGGTTCAAAACTGAGTCCTTGGACCCACAGGGTCAGCTTCCCCATGGGCCAGACACATACACCAACATGTCTCTGGTTGGGCAGTTTGTTAAGGCCCTCAAGCAAATGGTTCTCACTGCTGTGGCCTATGTCATGTCGGGTTAAGGGCCACTGCAGGGATGGCCGATGCATGCTTTGATGTTCTGTGTGGGTGTTAGGTGTGTCCTGGGCAACTGGCCTGGCGAGGTATGCAGCCACCTTCCTGAATCCAGGGCAAGGCCCTTCCAAAGTCCCAGGCAGGCATCAGGGCAGGCAAGAGTATGGCAGGAGGGCTGGAGGGGTAGCAGGAACACCCATTCAAGAGCTTAGGGGCAGGACAGGAAGCTTATGCTGACACCCTGCTCTGGATACAGTCCTGGGCCCCAAGGGCAGTATGACCTTTTAGCACCTCTGCCTATGAAATACCTTCACCGAGGAAGACCCAGCCTTGGTAGTACCCAGGATGTTACAACCACAGCCTCATTCCTGACCTCCCCATCCCAGCTCTCCTGGCACAACCCTTTATATAAGGCTCAACTTGGTTCTCCCTAAGGCGGACCCAGTCCCAGCCCTTTGTCTGGATGTCTATGAGGCCCAAAACCTGAGTCTTGACATCTGGAGGAAGACAGCACTTGTCATTTCTACTCCTCATGAACTTTGAGGTACAGGAGTCAGTAGGTGATGGTCTTTTATCATGGGATGTGGTCCAGCCTCCATCTGGTGTGACCATTGCCTTCTGGCATGCCCCATTGTTGCTCTAGCAAACCTTGAGCTGCTCTCCTTGTCACCCCTCACATCTGCTCTTCTTTTGGCTTGTCTGAGGCAGTGCCCCATGTCAAGACATTCCCCACTCCCTGCCACAAAGGTGCCCATCCCTTCCTAGTGCCTGAATCCCTCTCAGCCCTGAGGGAGGTTGATATGTTCTGCTGCCATCCCACTCCAAGACCTTCTGCCTCCATGCCAAGTCTCAGCTCTGGGGACTTTTACCTGATTAACAGTCCTATTGATGAAAGGCCCAGAAAACAGGTACTGCTCCATCTCTTCCCACAGTCCCTCACCCCCTGAGAACATGTAGCAACTCAGGTTTCATCATTCACATGGCCCATGAGCTCAGATACCACTGATATTTTTTCCTTGAGACAGGAAAGAATTTTGGAAATAAGTCTGCTTAGGTGTCCAAAACCCAGGACTGAGCAAGGAGGGTTTCTTTAGTTTCTATAGGCTATGTTGTTCTTTTTGTGGTGATAGTTTATCAATATAAGTCATTTTATTATTTGTAGTATTGGGGATTGTATCTAGGGCTTTGCACATACTAGGCAAATGCTCAGTCAGTGAGTCATGTTCCCAGCCTTTTAAAATTTAATTTAGTTTTGAGGCAAGGTCTTACTAAGTTGCCCAGACTAGCCTTGAACTTGTTATCCTCCTGCCTCAGCCTTCTGAGTTGATGGAATTTCAGGCATGTGCCACTTTAAATTACTTTTAAGCAGCATTTGCTACTGAGAGCATTTCTAGGTGGGATGGGGGTGGGTTGCTGAGCCCCACCTGAATCTTGACATCAGGAGGGGAGGTCAGATTTCATCTGATTCAGTCATTCAGATCTAGCCTGAGTGGAAGCTTTAAGTCCTGCTCAGGCCCATGCTAAGGAGGTTAAGGAGGCTTGGTTGAGTGTGGGATATGTCCCAAAGTACCACTGTGGTTGTTAAAGCCTTGCCTACACTGGGAGGCTCTTGGGAGGAAGGAGGCACCTCCAACTGACTGAGCAGTGCTTTAGGGTTAGTGTCCAAGGGGAAATCCCTCAGCTATATTTTGGTATTGTGACCTCTGCAAAGGGCTGTGGGTCTCTGACCACTGGGCAGAAGGGTAGACTGTTCACATGGGTCTGGGTAGTGGAAAGAGTGGGTCCCCAGGGTTTGAAAGGATCATGTGGTGCAGGGTGGAAAGAGGTCCTAAAAAGCCAGCTGACCACAGAAAACTCATGACCAACTGGAAGTCGTGGGGCCCCATCTCTAGGACCTGCTTGTGGCCAGGCTTCTCTTTGGGCTGGGACAGGGCCACTCATTAGAACTCCTGGGTATACATAAGCTGAGCACATGTGAGCTGCCTGCAGTAAGGTGGAGAGAAGGGCTAGGTGCTGTCCTGGGGTGTACAGGCTATTTCTAGGTCTTCCTGGGCTCTGCTGTGGATGATCATAAGGGTGGTGTATGTTTTGAACCTGCTGTGGTCTGCTCCCCACCCTTGCCACCAGTCACTTTAACCCTCTTACCTCTTTATAATCATCACCTTGTGCATGTGAGGAAACTAAGAAGAAAATTGATGAGGCTAAAGTCATGCTGCTGTTGACCTTGGTCTGGGGTCTGAGTCCAGAACTGTGGCTCCAAGCCAGCATCTGCCCTAGGAGGGACTCCTTGGGAGGCCCTGTAGTGTTCTGGATTGCAGGTACAAGTCCTCCTGGCTGCTGTAGGAGGGCAACCTGACCTGCGTTCTGGAGGTACCTGGGCTCTTGGGTGCCTGACCCTACCATGTTGAGTGAGCATTGTGTGTAGTCATTAGGTGGGGCCCAGCTTGGGCACAAATCAAAGGGCCATGTGCAGTCTGGCCCACCCACTGCTGAAACTGTGTGGCTACCCTATGGCCAGGCCTATGTGTGTTCAGGAGGTTGACAGAAGACATTAGGGCATAGTGACCACCCTACTGTGGTCAGACTGTCTGACCTGGGAGTTTACCTGGAGAATGTCCCTTAGCTGGAGAGGGGCTGTGTGTGGGTGTGGCTTGTCCAGTATGCCATAGAACATCTTCAGCTGAGTAGTTGTCAGGGGTGAAGGGGCAGTGACCCCAGAGCTTACAGATCCCACAGGAGGCCCAGAGGGAGACTAAAGAGGGCAAGATTAATTACCACCTCTCCCATAGTGAGGAATCAACTACTTGTTTTGGGGTCTGTGGCCAGGGGTTGGTAGCAAGTGTGGTGCTGAGAAGTCATGGTGCTATGCTTGGCAGCCTTGATACCCACCTGGCAGGACCCAGGATAGCTGGGGTGCTTAAGGAGAGGCCCAGTGGGCCAGGATGGGGGCAAGTGGCCCCAGCCCTGCTTGGAAGTGCTGGGAAGACCAGGCTGTAGCCAGCAATACTGTTGCCCTCTCCTCAGGCTGGTGGACCCTGGAGGCAGCTCTTAGCTGGGCCCAGAGCTTCGTCCAAGGCCTAGGTAGCCTCGAAGCAGGGAACTAGTGCCAGTTCCTTATGGGCTTCCCTCTTAAGGGATGCCACATGGTGCTACATGGCTGGCTCCCCGAGGAGGCAACTTGAGGAATATGTGGCCATCTGATACTGTGCTATGTCCTGCCCTCCCTGGCAGTATCAGCAGCCCTTGGACCAGACAGTCCAAGCAGGTGGGGGCAAAGAGAGGCCCTGTGACCTGAGCCCTTGTGCTACCCACATTCCACACCCCACTGACTCCTGTACAGCAGCCTGGTTTTCCCACCAGGACTTGCCTTAACCCCCTCCTCAGCCAGCTTCTATGTCTGGACCTGCTGCTGCCTGGCCCCTGCTAGGTCCTCTCATCCAGGCTGCATCCAGCCAGTCACTCCTCACTCGCTGTAGTGTGTTTTAATTTCTCACCTAACTTAGAGCATGAGACTTGAATGCAGATGATGTGTGGTGTTTTTCTAGATGTGGTTTCTGTGGCAGTACTCTGTTGCCATCAGTCCTCAGCATGTAGGTTCCATCAGGCCTGGCCTGAGAGGTCCTGCTGAAGCAATAGAAAGATAGCAAGGATTCACTAAGGACCCCACCTGTATAGTGTGATCCCTGGCATAGCCAGGTGGCAGCTTATGAACATCCCTCTCCCCAGTGCACACTGTCTAGAAGCTGTAGTGTGATGGGCTTGGCATATGGGTGTCTCTCTGTCTCCCTCTGTGCTGCTGACATGGAACCCGTGCTTCTACTGGCTAGACAAGTGCTCTCCCACTGAGCTAGACCCCAGCACCTGGGCCTCCCCTCTCATACTGTGAGCCTCTTGAGGTCTTCCTACCCCAAGTCTTTAGATGGTACCGTGTGATGCTCAGAGGTGTATGTTGAACAAGTGAGAGATGCAAGATGGGAATGATTGTGGCAGCACTGTCCACATGAGCAAGGACCCCCCAGCAGGAGCGGTCTGCTCTTGCTGACCCAGTTTACACCAACCCAACACAGCACCATGTTCGCTCGCAGCCCCCATTCCTACCTGCCTCCATCCTGGGTCATCCTGGCCTCCTGCCTGCTACAGCTCTATGTCATTCTGGTGATAGATAGCCCCAACAGGTAGCTCCTCTTTCTGGGCAGTTGCAGCTGCTGGCTTTCACCTGTGCTCACTAGCAAGGGCTGGCATGAAGAAACAGGGTTTAGGTCACCCTGAGGGCCCTAGTCCCCACATGAGCAGCCTTTCAAGAAGGCACAGAGAGAGAGCCTGCTGCAGTGTGTGGGGAGCAGCTTCCACTCCCCAATGAGACAGCTGCTGGCTGAGGGCCTCTGCCTTGCCAGGCCAAGAACCAGATGTTCTTATAGGACAGGGCAAAGGAAAACTCCAGGTTCTAAGACCTGGGTTTGCCAAATCAGTCTCCACCAGTCAGGCTTGCTTCAGGGAAGAGGCGGAACCCCCATGACCTGATGGTGCCCCACAGAGCTCAAGCTGACTGAGTCCTGGCACCCCCTGGAGCAGCTGTTACGTTTTCTAGACACCAACATGAACTGGGGACTGGCGTATGCTCCCTCCTCTCCTCACCAGCTGGAGTCCCTTGGGACAAGTGACCAAGCTGACGCTACGGGAAAGGGCGGGCACGTGTGTGCCGCGTCCCGCAGGTCTGTGAGCTTCATCTCCCTTTCCTTCTTCACAGTGTACTAATGGTCACTTGATGTGCGCTGGCTGTTTTATCCACCTACTAGCAGATGCCCGGCTGAAGGAGGAGCAGGCCACATGCCCCAACTGTCGTTGTGAGATCAGTAAGAGCCTCTGCTGCCGGAACCTGGCTGTGGAGAAAGCCGTGAGCGAGCTGCCCTCAGAATGTGGCTTTTGCCTGCGCCAGTTTCCTCGTTCCATCCTGGAGAGGCACCAGAAAGAGGAATGCCAGGACAGGTAACCACTGAGGCTGTGGCTCCACCACACGTGTGCCCAGGGTGGGCTGCAAGCCCACCCTGCTGCAGGCAAGTCCTCCCAGGACAGGCTAGTTTGTCCTTGTCGTCTGGGCCTGGGGCACCATATGCAACATAACAAACCTGTAGGCCCCAGGGTAGGGGGCGCATGGGGCTTCCCATGGGACAGGGCAGTTCTGTGCCCATTTGCTATCTAGACATGACCCTGACCTTCAGGGTTCTTTGGCTATGGGGTAGCCCCTCAGAAGGCCCAGGACAGTGTGGCCAGCTCAGGAACTCTAGAAGCTCTGCTCTACAACATGGGCCCAGTAGGTGGACAGGGCCACTTATCCAGTGGATCCCTAATACCAGGCCTCCTCTGTAATGATGTTGTGTGGGACCATGACAGTGGTCATTGGCTCCTTATTATGAAGAAACGCCACAGCAGTGGGTACAAGAAGCATGCTGACTTATAGCTCTCTTACCCCCCCCCCACTCTTTATTTCTGTCTTCTTCTCCTTCCCTCTTTCACTGYCTCCCTCCTCCTTCTCCTCCTTCTCTGTCTCTCAAACACACACCACATGTGGGCATGCAGGTACAACTGTTCTCTGAGCTTGTCCTTGTGGCTGGGCTCAGGATTAAGTATGTCCTACTGGAAGAGGTTTTTGACTGAGCAAAAGCTGCCTCTGGGGGATAGCTGGTCACAGCCACCTGCTTCTGGCATAGATGTGACCTCTGTATTCACCTTCTCCCAGGGTGACCCAGTGCAAATATAAGCGCATCGGCTGCCCATGGCATGGCCCTTTCCATGAGCTGACAGTGCATGAAGCTGCATGTGCCCACCCCACCAAGACGGGCAATGAGTTGATGGAGATCCTAGATGAGATGGACCAGAGCCACCGCAAGGAAATGCAACTCTACAATAGCATCTTCAGCCTGCTCAGCTTTGAGAAGATTGGCTACACAGGTGAGGTGCCCCACTGCCCTCTGCATGCCACACGGGTATGAACTGGGATGATGCTGGTGACCAGAAGCTGGGTATTGGGGACAGCAGACTCTGTGCAGTGGGCACAGGCTGCGCCGGATGGCTAGGCTCTGGACAACCTCCAGGAGGACATCTCAGGGAAAAAAAGATAGGTCAGGTTGGAGACTGRGCAGAGGGTGGGGCCAACAGGGCCTAGGGCGTACCTGCATGGCTCTCACAGTAGCCCCTGCCCCTGTCCTCCCCACCCTGGCCTACCATCCCAGCAAGCTGGTATCACTGTGTGGGGCTCCACTGCCTTGGGACAGGTGGGGTCTAACCAAGAAGTGGGACGTGTGTTAGGGAAGCCTGGGAACTCAGGGCTGCCACTCAGAGCTGGAGCAAGAGGAGCCTCCATCAGGTCAGGCCCTGTCAGCAGACCTCATTGAAGCCACCACAGGCCTCCCAAGGCTGGTAAGAAGCTGTTCAGGGACAGGACTCCAGAGCAAACTGAGGGCACCCAGCTCAGGCTGTAGAACCAGGAATGGATGTCCACAGATGGGCAGACTGGACTGGGCCTAGGCCCACTGGATCTTGTGGCTCCTGGGCTACTGCTGCCACCTTTGAACATTTCGGAAAGCAGGAGTCAGGCTGGAGCCTGGTTCAGAGGACAGCAAGAAGCACCTGCAGACAATGGGCCACTCAGGGAGACCCCATCCCTCTACTGCTCAGCAACACCAGGTGGCCAGGGCAACCATGCAGCCAGTCACACCATGCTGCCTAGACTGAGCTTGGCTGGGTATAGGCCTGAGCAGGCTCCACAGGCTGAGGGCCCAGGGGGCTACAGCAGCAGAAAGCCACAGCCGCTGGTTAAGAGCAGCCTCAGCTGATCGAACAGGCCCTGTGGGGTCTGGGTGGGCAGGGGCATGTGGCTACATCAGTGGCCAGGTAGGAAGCCCCATCCATGCAGGAAGGACTGGTTGCCTGGGAACCCACACCTCCACAGAGGGACTTGCCAGCCACAGGCTGTGGGTACAAAAGAGGACTGCAAAAGCAGGTCTGCCCGCTGACTGACAGCCCCAGAGATGCCAGGCAGAGCCTGGTTGCAGCTGGACACCTGAGGACCTGGCGCTCCCCTCGGGCAGGACTGGGTGCCACTTACTCACCTGCCGGCTTTTCTGGCAGCTCTGTATCCGAACCAATAAAGTACACTTGTTCTCAGAACTGCATCCTGTCTGTGTGTCTGCTTACCCCGCCCCTGCTGGGACACCAGGGCTAGGGTGAGGAGGGTGGTCCATGGGTCAGCCACACCTGGGAGATGGCCTGACCTCCCATAGCCTTGGGTTCTACAGCTAATTGGTGTTTATATCCCCGGACCCCTGAAAGCTTGTGCGCCTCCATGTGCAATACTTGCATTTGACTTGCCTTGTGACAAGTAGAGCTCACTAGGTCCGGGTAAGTTGCCTTTCTCCCTGGCTGAGCCTGTCCTCAGCCTGGTCAGAGAAAGCGCCACCACCCAGCTCTGCCCAACACTAATGGCTGGCTGTTTCTGGCCCTGTCTGTCTCCACAGAAGTCCAGTTCCGACCATACCGCACGGATGACTTCATCACACGCCTGTACTATGAAACACCGCGGTTCACAGTGCTGAACCAGACATGGGTCCTGAAGGCTCGTGTGAATGACTCAGAGCGCAACCCCAACCTGTCTTGCAAGCGCACACTTTCCTTCCAGCTCCTCCTCAAGAGCAAGGTCACAGCACCCCTGGAGTGCTCCTTCCTGCTGCTCAAGGGCCCGTATGATGATGTGCGAATCAGTCCTGTCATCTACCACTTTGTCTTCACCAACGAGAGCAATGAGACGGACTATGTGCCTCTGCCCATCATCGACTCTGTGGAGTGCAACAAGCTGCTGGCTGCCAAGAACATCAACCTGCGGCTCTTCCTCTTCCAGATACAGAAGTAGGATGGGCCCAGGATGCCCAAGGAGCTGAGGGCCAAGGCTGGCGCCGCCATCCCATCCACCCCTGGCTTGGCAGCGGCTTCACATGACCATCTGATCATTTTAGCAAAAGAGGAGAACAGACAAAACCAAACACTGGGAAAGTCTGCATGCGTGTGCCACAGGGTCCCTGCCTCCAGCTCCCCCTCTTCCCGGCCTCCCCCCTCCTGAGGGTGGCTGGAGGCTGGGCTGACCGCAGAGGAGACAGTGCTTTGGGCTACCCAGGCTCAGGGATGGGTGGTGAGGAGGGCGAGAACCAGCGGCCCTGCCCCTGCACCCATCCTCACAGTGAGGCAGCACTGCCTGCTCTGGTCCCGGGCCGGGCTCAGGGGCCCTCGCTGACTTCAGACGGCATATTTGATTGCAATTAAAAGGCAGCCTTGTTTCCTACTTTCTGTTTTGTTGGAGGGGAAGGAGTGGCTGTGAATGGACGGCGTGGGAGCTCTGGTATGGCTTGGGGGTTACTGTTATGGCACCTGTGTGTGCCCCCAAGAGAGACTTGGAGACATTGCTTCTCCCACAGTAGTCTGTCACAGGTCTCTGGACTGAGGCCTAGACAGGGACAGCCATGAAGGGTCACCCCCCCCCCCCCCCCCAGCTACCCGGCTACTTCAGGGAGGCAAGACTCCGCCACCAGAGCTCAGCAGATGTTTTCGGAATGCAGGGTGAAATTCTGTCTCTTCCCAGGAAAAAATTAAACTCTTTACAGGCTCTTCTAAAAGTGATGCCGTTTTAGTGAGAGAGAGCTCATTCACTTCCTTTTAGCCTTGGGGCCCAGTGTCTTCAGGCTGCAAAGGAGGCAGGCCACTGGCTGTGAGCCTGGCTGGGTGAGGTCAGAGAGGGCCACCACCCCAACCTGCTCTCAGGGACTGGCTGCTGGGCCTTTGTTCAGAGAGCCACTGCAAGGGCCAAGGTTGGGCAGCATGGCTTCTCACCTACAGAGTGTGAGCTATGAGCAGGACTGGGGAGTGGGGAGCAGCCCTGCTTGGAGGAGCAGACCTTGGCCTTTATTCCCCTGGGACCCGCAGAGCTACTGGGAAGGTACAATTTGCTCCCCTCAACTTTTGTTTAGGAGATGGGGCTCTTTTGTGATAGCTTTTTTTGCTTTAATACCAAAGAACTGGGTTTCCTCTGCCCTGACCAGGCCACCACACACCTGGGAGCAGCCCCCACCCTCTCTGCAGGCTGCCTGTGCCCCATGGGGTTGAAGGACTGGATAGCCCTGGCCACATGGGTACAGAATTTAGGCCAACTGACTCCTCCCATCCCACCCTCAGGGGGCTGAGAAATGGAGAGGAGGAGCTGTGGCATAGAGCACAAGCCCCAACCATATTCCTGAGCATGGCTTAGTACAGGGGCCAGGGTAGCTGCCTGAAACAGTTTTCTCCTCAAGGATGGCTCTCCTGTCTCCTCACAGACAGAAAGATTCTCAGAGCTGTTTTCAAAGATCCATTTGGGCTCCTGTCCCCAGCTCAGGGCACAGAGCTTACAGGGAACCCCTCTCTGGGGAACCGTCTCTCCTGCAAAGCTGATGTGGCCTGGATAGTTGGGAAGACCCATGTTTGGCTTTCTGCCTTCTACAAAGAAAGACCCAACCCCAAAACCCAGCACATCTATAGGAGTGGTGGCCTCTGACTCAGGTACAGCCAGATGACTCCTCTGCCCTTGTGGGGCAGCCCTGTCCCACACCCACTGACAGGCACAGAGGACCTGTGGAGAAGAGAGGCCCTTCAGGGAGCCCCTCTGGATTCCCAGGTGATGGTGTGAGGGACAGTGCAAAACTGTCCTTTGGGGTATTTGTGAGACTGATCCAGCAGAGGGTGATATAGTGGTTTCCTGGGGTGGGACAGGGTGGAAGGTTTGTTCTCCAAGGTCACAGCTATGCTGGGACAAGGAAGAGCACAACTGGGCTGGCAGGGGTTTGGAGGCAGCAGATCTGTATGTATATGTGTGGCTGTGGGGTCTGGGAGGCCACAAGGAGGGAGGAGGCCCAGGGCTGGCAGTCCTACAGCCTTTCCTCAGTGCTGGAGCCCACAGGGTCAACAATAGGGTCAGCCCAAGACCTATGTGGGGACCAAGGCAGTGTCCAGACAAGGCCCTCTCTAGGGGTATGGTGTGTCTGGTGATGCCTAGAAGGACTGCTTAGGCCTTGCAGCACTGTCCCCAGCATGGCCCCTGCCCTATGGCTGTCACATGCAGCAGCTGAGCCTAGCAACCTAGGGGAACTGGGCAGTGGAGGAGACTGGCATGTCTCTGGGCCACGCTGGGCACTGGCACCACAAACCTTGCACCATTGTCACCATGGACCCTTTATTACTGAAGGCACATCTACTGGCCTGTGTCCTCTTGCTGTCTCAGTCTGGTCCCTTTTCTGTCATCTGTGAGGATGGGGGTGATTAGTCTCTGCAGATATGGGGAGGCTTGTGGGGGTATAGGCCAAGCCAGGCCTCTACACTCCTCATCTTACTCCCACTCTCTGTGAGCACCACATCCATTAGTTTGCCCAAAGTGAGACATTTACAAAAACAATAAAAATAAATTTTTAAACATCAGAGCAAGAAGTGCTTTTATGGCTGTCAGAAATGACTTACATGTCACTTTTGTGATCTGCATTTTCTTTGGATATTTTCTGTATGTAATTGTAGTTTAAAAAAATATTCCAAACTATGTTTTGTCTGTGTGTCCTTACCAGAAGACAGCCTCCCCGCCGCCCCAGCCTGTGCCCTGCCCCAGACCTCCAGCCCTGTGCAGCACCTCCTGCCTGGTCACCTGGAGAACAGCATGGAGAAGACAGTCATCTCTGAAGGGAATTGGCTCCTAGGAACTATGCTGTCCTATGAATCTGAGGGCTGGAAGGAAGGCAGTTCATGGTCTTCCCAGCTGCTCTAGGGCGTCCCTGTGTCTTCTGAGCCACCCTGTCTTCAGCCAGCCTCTACTTCCACACACCTTGATCCTCACCCCACCCCTCATCCCTCACTATGCTCCTCACACACCTCACCAGCCTGTCCAAGTAGCTGCCTCAGTTTCAGAGCCACGATTTGGGTGTAGAAGGGACTGACAGTGTGGACCTTGTTGTTCCCAACACCCCTGGGTCTAGGTGGGGGCCTGGTCAGGCACTTCACCCTCCTACATCCAATGTCTTCTCCCCCTGCTCATTTCTATAGGCTTAGTCTCACCTTGCACCCGCAGCTGTGGAGACAGCAAAGCCCAGAACAGCCTAGGCCCAGCCCACACCTAGAGACCAGTGCTGTTTCACCATCTTTGTTTCACCATCTGGCAGCCCTTACTGGACCCATCTGCCCTCCACAATGCCCTCTCCGCAGTAGGCCTTGCTGTCCATCCACTGACAGTGAGTTTTACCTCATTGGATCTGGTTTTTTTTTTTTTTTTTTTTAAGTTGTTGTTGGACACAATACCTTTATTTTATTTTTATGTGGTGCTGAGGATTGAACCTCTCTCGTACTAGGTGAGCACTCTACCGCTGAGCCACAACCCAGTCCTGGATCTGTTTTGATTATGATAAAAAAAAATAAACCCATCTATCTCCCACTTCTTCTGGACCTCCTCTGGGGCACAGCCCAAGCACCAAGTGTCCAATACTACTCTTAAAGTGTAGCCAGGAGTGAGAACCGCAAGACATGGCAGATATTTGGTGTTCAAGGTAATGAGGGACAGGGTGCCCCAAGACATAGGATTCCAGACGTGTTAGACCTTCCACAGGTGAGAAATCTGTTAAAATGCTCCAAGCCTAGACCCTAACACCCTTTTATCTCTCAACACAAAGTAGCTTCGCAGGTTTATTAATGTGCCTTCACTGAATCTTCTAGTAATAAAACCTGCATATACATCTAGGAAATAGTACTTAGTTCATTTAGGAAAACACGGTTCCTTCTTTTTTTCCTCCCCCAAACATCCCTGGAATCTTGAGTCCTTTAATATGACTGGCTGTGTCTTCTGAATGCAGGTTGTTCCCTGGGGCTTCTGTCCCCTTGATTGAGCTCACATGCCCAATTACCCAAAGCGTATTTTACTACAAGTCGCTTTTGTTTCTTCTTACGTTAGGGCACTGCGTCCTTTTTTAAACCAAGTGTGAGGTGGTGCGTTTTGATTTCAGGAGGACGTAGCGACGGTGCAACAGAACACCTGGATGAAAGCAGGAGCCACAGCCCCAAGGTGCTGTGAGCAAGGTGGCCCCTCCGCCCGGCCCCGCCCACACGTGTGCCGGTGACCAACGCTGGATGCTGATCTGGCCCTAAAGCTCAGGGTGCCTGAGGCAGGCAGACTACACCTCCGGGGACGTTCTGCGCCCGCGCGCGCCGCGAGGAGGGGCGGGGCCTAGGAGAGACCCGCGTGGTGGACGTCAGGGATAGGGCCTTGGGCGGGGCTTGGGCGTGGGACGGAAGGGGCGGGGCCTGGGCGGAACCTCSGAGCAGCGCGCGAACTCCGGATCGCGGCGGCTGCGGCGGGAGCATGAACCTAGACCGTGAACTTCGCCGTGAGTCTCTTGGGGCCCAAGTACGGGAGCGCGGGGCGGGGAGTTGGTCTCCACTCATCTCCTCGCCCTCCTTCCTCCCGGTAGAGCTGAGCAAGGCCAAGGCCAGGGCCCAGAAGAACGGGCAGCTGCACGAGGAGGCGGCCTTCTGCCATCAGCTGGGGGAGCTGCTGGCCAGCCACGGTGAGCGCACGCGCGGGCAGGCGGCTGGGAACTCTGCTCTTCCCCGCGGCCACCAAAGCGCCAGTAACCCGCCTGGCCCGGTGACCCGCGCGGTGCCCTTATGCAGGCCGCTATGCTGAAGCCCTGGAGGAGCACCAGCAGGAGCTGCGGCTCCTGGAGAGCGCCCTGGACACCCTAGGCTGTGCGGTGGCTCACCGCAAGATCGGAGAGCGGTTGGCTGAGATGGAGGACTACTCCGCTGCCCTACAGGTGCGCACCCAGCGCGGCGGCCTGCGCCTATGGAGCTGCTTTCTGAGGAAGGAGGCCCCACTTGGGAGTTTCAGAGTAGAGGGACTCGTAGGCAGCCACACATTCTGGGCCTGCCAGGGACGCAGCCTGGTTCAGGGGTCAGTGCACCGCGGCCTTCCCTGGGACCAGGCAGTAGTGAATTCCTGACAACAGAAACTATTAAGGAACTATTACTTCTGCCCAGTTTTTTGGGAAGAGGGAGCGGGACCGACTGATGCTGGAGGTGGTGGCAACACCCCAGCCAACTTCCAAGTCATCTATGTTATGAGCAACTATTACCACAGACAGCCTCTGGCACTAACTAGATGAGGCATGTGTGGATGGCACTGCAGGGCTTTTGGAGAACAGAGGCTCTCCTGGGTGAGAGTGGCTTCCCCTGGGGTTGGGACTTATGGGTTTGCTTAAGGTGAAATCAGCTCAGCTGCTT